GCATTATGCATTTCCCTTTTATGACATTGGAAGTCAAGACACAAATAATAAATTTTTTTCTTCCAAATTTCTATTTTATTTTTAAAAACATCATTTTTCTATTTTATTCCTGTAGCATGCAGCTATGTTTCTTTAACCATATAAATCAACTATCAGTGAGTTCTATGATTGGACGTTAAACTACGATATCACGATAAAATACCTATTCTTAAATCAAATTGAGCCTTTGTTTGGTAGGGATTATTTTAATCTAAATTTAAGTTAACAATTAGTTTTAACTTCATATTTCTTGAGATACATAACTTTTTAATCACATATTTCATCAGTTTTTATTAAAATCTACTAAAATCTAATTTAAATAAGTTGACAGTCCTAATAATCATTAAATTTATGTTCGTATCTTTGATTACTCACTAAAATTTCAAATATCGAGTTTTGACCACTAAACTTATCAAAATATTGGACTATAGTCACTAGCATGATAACCATGAAATTAATGACATGACGCATGGAATGCATAGGTGTCGCCCAAATACCTTTATGTAAATTGTCATGTAAGAAAGACGTCTTTGATTGTTCACTATACTTTGAAAGATGTCTTTGATGACTCATTATACTTTTAAAGACGTCTTTAATTGCTCACTATATTTTTAAAGAAGTCTAGTTTTGGCCATTGAAATTGTAAAATTAACATCGATCTGTTTTGAAAATTTAGGAATGTTGTTCCAAGTATCACTTGCATACAATATATATATATTATTTTTTATTTATTTATTATTTTTGTTTTTTGGGGACGGGTGCTATTTAGTAGAAACTTACTTGATTAGCCATGAAAACGTACTCAGTGTGATGAACGGCTCTTCTTTGTTGCCAACTGCTGATACTTCTCTAATCGGAGCTTCTAAATGGATGGATAAACAAAAGGGAAAGACAAAAAAGAGAAGGAATTGACTTTTTACATTTTTATTTTTTTATTGATAGCAGAATTCTGGTGAATTAAAGGTGTTTGCTCCATTTTTCTTAATTGATAACAGAATTGTGGACCCTTATTTAATGTAATTAGTGGTTGCAAATTTTTCCATTAACGCACACATTGGATGTCTTTCGAATTTTTTTGTATACGTTTTTTGCTGCACAAAAATATTGGTTGCAAATGATATATGTTGGGTGCTGTTAATATAGATTATGGATTTTTTTTAGTTGAATGTCATACATATTTCTATTAAAAATAGTCATCAAAATTGTCAACATTTTCTTGCCATTTTATTCTATCCCTCTTCATCGTTCTATTTTTAATTAGTAGTTGTAAATGTTTATCAGTATTTACTTGACAATTTGTAAATTGCCTAAGTTAACTTCAATAGGTATAATGCATAAAGTTGATTAGAAATGACTTGGGGAGATCAATAATCAAGATGTTTAGGCTTTAATATAAATGAATATGTCTCTATGCAGAATTGAAGTTTCACATATTCTAGTCTCTATCCTTAGTTTTCTCTTAAAAAACCTAGCATTGAATATAGATCGAGTTTTGTTGTACGCAAACGATACTTGAAAAGTTCATTGGTCAAAACTCGATCACCTTAAAAGTACAATGAGTAATCAAAGACATTTTTAAAAGCATAGTCAGTAATCAAAGATGTCGTTCAAAGCATAGTGAGCAATCAAATATGTCTTTTTACGTGTCAATTTGCATGACAATGTTTGGACATCAATTATGTATTCAATATGTCATGTCATCAATTCCATTAGATTGTGAAATGGATATCATGCTAGTGAGTAACGCCCTACATTTTTGACAAGTTTAGTTGTTAAAACTCAACATCTAAAACTTCAGTCAGCAATCGAAAACACAAATATAAGTTTAGTGATTTTTGAGAAAATTAACTCAATATCATTCCTCATCAAATAGGGGTTTGATTCGATCAAATGGTGATGTTCATTGATAAATGTATTTTTGCACAATTACTTAATATCTAAATATATTTATTATTGATAAAAAAAAGAGCTGATATCGAGTCACAACTTGATAATTTTGACTTTGTAGTTATTAATCACCTATAGAATGAGAACAATGCAAAAGGAGGAAAAATGGATCAAAAGCGTACAAAATTGTGGAGTTGAGGACCAAGTGCTCAAATTAGAAAGTTGAAGGACCTTGGGCTGCAATTTATGAAGGGCTTGATTGAAATGAAAGTTGAAATCTGAGGATCGAATTGTACAAAATTAAAGTTGAGTGCCTTAAGTACAAATTGCTGGAGAATTTATGTGCAAAAAGAAAAAAAGTAAACAGATGAATGTAAGTGAACAAAGACTTTAAAAGATTAGCCCCGTTTGATTCCCATTTTTTACTCATTAAAATGAAAAATATGACTGTTATCCATCAAATCAAATTATCATATTTGACTTTTTATCTCTTGTGTGAATCTCGTAACGATTATATTTTTCATTCTCATTCTTAAATCTATGAGAATCAAACGTGAAAGAATCAATTTGATTCTTTCAACTAAATCCTGGGACTTGAGCTGCAAATTCTAATTTTGCAGTTTTTAAATCTGGAAACGACAATAGCCCTGGGGATTCTTCTTCATCCTTTTCCTTCTCTTTTCATTTCTCTTCCTTCCATTCGATTTTTCTTGTAATTTTTGGAGCAAACCCAAGAGCACAAGATAATGCATTTGGAGAAATAATTGGGAAAAATTAAGATTTAGCCATCAAGAATCCAAATCTAAAAAGGGGTTCATCTCCACTCTTATATTTTCTTCATTATTATCTCATATTTGCAATGTATTGTATGAAATATTTTCATTTACATTACTTGTATAAAATGGACTAATTTTTGTGTTGGGATCTATGGTTGACATTTAACATAGCCTCGATTAATTTCCATATTTGCTTTTTAATGTTAAAATACTTATTTTTCCGTGTTTTTAATATTGTTATTATTGCATTTCATTTATGTGCCGAATGAATGATTGTGTTTAATGATTTATACATCGTTTGAGAGAAGATTATGCATTTTAGACCAAATAGTAGAAACCATTAGTTTGTTTTGGAGATAGAGATATATCTCTAATACTATGTGAGACAACGAGCTATTTTACACAAAAAATTAATGTGAATGTTTGGTTTTAATTGACATAGATATAAAGTTGGTTAAACCAATCAATTATGGTTAAATTCATTTGGGAGAGGTAATTAGCTAAAATTGGAAGATCGGGTCTAACATCATAAATGAGTAAATTATTAATTGGCTTTTGAAAAAATTAATTAGATGATATTTAAGCAAAATCTTGAATCTCAACCACTTTTTTCCTTTAAAATTTACATGTATTTATGTTTTCTTATTTTTGTTGATTTTTATTTAATTTTCCTTATTTTACAAAATCAAATCTTTATTGTATGTTTGTTTTTATTGTTAAGATTAAATTGATTAAAATTGTGTAATATAAAATAATTATTCATCAAGGGATTAACAACTCAGACTCAAAAAGTCCACTTTTAGTACATGAACGCGACTTGTGTACTTGCGGTTTGCACTTTCTTAGTGAACAAGTTTTGGACGTCGTTGTCAGAATTTTTTTTTTTTTACCACTTTAGTTAATTTTATTCTTAACAATTTTTTATTTACTCTTTCTTTTTATATTTTGGCTATTACCCCGTATTGTTAATCTATTTTGTGCTGGTATTCTCACACTGTATTTTTCAGCTATAATTGTATTATTTCATTCCTGGTGAAGTAACAAAGTTTTTACAATGTTTAATCTCTATATTGACTATGGATATATACTTGGTGGTCTAGATGTGAAATTTATCTTGCGATGCATTGTACAAGGCAATGCTTGTATTCGTGCACCGATGCCTTAATGTCGAAACTTTTTTTATGGTTTAAACAATATTTGAAATGCCGAAAACAAACACTAGACAATTTCGAAAACAAGAGCTTAATTTGATCAAAACGGTGATGTTTCCTCATCTCATACTTCCTTGATTTATAGTTGTATCCCATTTTAATTCTGAAGTTCCTACTAATGTAGTACGTGTTCTATCTTTATAGATTACCCACAAGACGCACCAAACAATTAAACTTTTCATAATATATAGTTAATATTTGAATAATCAAAATTTGAATTCGGGAGAGTCGATTTACTATGTAATTAATATAAGACCAATACATAAATTTTGCATTATTAGACCCATAACAAATTATAATGTTTACAGTGCATCATTTCTAGCAATCATATCTATGTCCATGCTTATTGGCCCAAGTGCAATCAAATGGTTCTTTTATTAACCACTTACTCTTTCATTTCTTATGAATTAGGTTAAGTGTAAATGGGGGCAAAGTCATCATCGTGAAGAAGCACAACAACGAAATCTTAGACGTCGCATTTTGACCCTCGACACATCAACTTAAGTTGACAAATTAAATAGTTTGTTGTATTCGAATTGCAATATAACGTAGATTCTTTCGAAAGGCAACAATGATAAAATTTTCGTAATAAGCGAAAGCCCGATGAAAAAATGCTTCGTGAAAGTCGAATTAATGGTGGTTTGTGAAGAATTAACATCGATTAGCTTATGACAAGTGTTGCACTTTTAGTGCAGTGTATTAATGTCTTATTATTCACTAACAAGATTTGAAAAATTAAAAATTTCAGGGATAAAATTTGAAGTGACAATTAAATACATGAATTTGGATAACATATTTATGCTTGTACATATCTCTATCTTCTTCTATCTATTTAGACCTTGTTTGATTCCTATTTTTTTAAAATGTATTTTTTTTTCCAACACATTTTTAAATTAAAAATTTTTCATTCACACATTTTTCATTAATCTACTATTTTAAAATTCATTTTTTTCATTAAAATTAGCGTCACACTCCCCCCCTCCTCTCCCCCGGCACCCCAAATATAAAAAAGGAGAAATTATTTTTGAAGCCGTAACTCTCACGGGTCATCATGACACGCTTATATTATTTATGTCCATTCTCATTCCAACCCCAAATATTTCGAAGAAATTACAATCAGTAAAACTCTCTTTTCCCCTTCTAAATTCTCACTTCCCACTTCCTGGTCCTAGAACTCGTTTTAATCCACACTCAGTCCAATCCAAAGCCCTCCAATCCAAAACCCTTCAAATTATTTGGATATTCTTCTCCCCCTAGACTATTCTGTTAGTATTTTAGCTGTTTTGCCTTTTGATTTTCCTCAGTATTCATTCCAATTTGATTTTTTCTAGTCCACGGGACGACATCTATAATTATCAGTTTCAAATTGATCAATTGGGTTTCTCCTCTGTCTCTTTAACCAAGAATTTGAGGTGGGTTTATTTTTTTAGACGCACATGTATGCTGATCATTTGTGGGTTTTATGTTTATCTGTGGAATAGGTTGTCTTTATCTTTGATTTTGTTTTAACGATTTTGATTTGACGAGTGAAGGAGAAAGAGAGATATGGAAAATGGAGAAGCCAACTTCGAAAGTAAATTCTCGGGATTGACGATGAGCGATTCAAATGATGGATTATTTCAGGTCATGAAAGCAGTGGAAGCTGCTGAGGCCACCATTAAGCAGCAGGTCTTTTACAGTCGCTCCTTCATTGTTTATTTTAATGTAATTAACGTTACAATTGGTTCAAAGTTTGGCTATTAATTCTACTTATTTGGCACATTGGAAACTCCTGTAAACAAAGGTTTGCGACTGTTTTATCTAGGGGATCCACTTAGAAAGTCTAGATGATATCCTGATTTTTTTATTTTTTGTCAAAAATAAATTTGGATTTACTCAAAGGGGGCATTGGCTGAGTTATCATTCTTTAACGAAGGGTAATGCTATTTAGCAGCGGATCATTCTAGGTGTCAAACGCATGATATGGCCAATTAAATGCATCCTATATCCTAAATTTAATTGGGACTATTATTTAATGTCAGATGTGTTGACACCTGACTAGTATTAAATACCATTGGAGCTATATAGCATTATTCTTAACCAAATAATTTCTAAAACACTCATCTCTCATCCTAGATCACTCTCTCAATGCATTACTTTACTTCATACGCAGTATTTCCCTTAGTTTGCCTAAAAAGAGAATATATGACCATATATAATGCGAGCATGTTGCACCGATCACGGCTCCCGAGCCTCCTTTTTAGACGTTCGTCCTTCCAGACCAAGATCCCCTGATCCTACGCCTACGACATCAGATCTTTCACTTGATAATGTTCCTCCTCGTTAACATTTCTAAGGCTGAATGTCGTCCCTTTACGGGATTCTCTCAATATAGAAATTGAAATCTGTACATCTATGGTAAGTAATTGAACTAATATGGTAATATACAATTATGGTATTTAATCATTCTAAATTGGTAAATACAATCACGTAATGCAATATTTCCTTTAACATCCCCCCTCAAATTGATGTTGGATAATCAAGAAGCATCAATTTGCAGACAAGAAATTGATTTCGTTGTCGAGTCATCGCCTTGGTAAATAAATCAGCAGTTTGAACATCAGTTGTAACATGTGGAAGAGTAATTAGACGACCATCACAAGCCTCTTGTATAGAGTGACAATCTACTTTAATGTGCTTAGTGCGTTCATGAAACTCACGATTAGCAGCAATTTGAATGACACTAGTGTTATCAACATAAATAGGAATAGGCATAAGCTGTGGACAGCCAAGCTCTGCTAGAAGACGTCGAAGCCAAACAATCTCAAAGCAGGTAGAAGACATAGCACGATACTCAGACTCGGTGGAGGATTTAGAGACATGATCTTGCTTCTTACTTCGCCATTAAACGAGCGCACTCCCAAGAAACATACACCATCCTGTAATCGAGCGACGAGTATCTGCATATCCGGTCCAATCAACATCACTATAACCAACCAGATCAAGAGGAGAGTTGACAGGAAAGAAAAGACCCCTATTAGGCGTACCCAGCAAGTATCGAATAATGCGACGGACTAAGCCAAGTGGAGGTGTCGTGGGGCATGCATAAATTGGCAAACATGCTAGACAGCAAATGAGATATCTGGTTGTGTAATAGTGAGGTAATTTAAACTACCCACCAATTGTCTATATAAATAGGGATCAGGAAGAAGATCACCCTTCTCCTTGCGATATTTCACATTCACCTCTAAAGGAGTATCAACATATCTACCATCTTGAAGTCCAGCTAAGTTAATCAGCTCTTCTGTATACTTGTGTTGATGTAGGTAAGTACCGGCAGGACTCGAATGCACCTCAAGGCCTAAGAAATACTGTAAAGGACCCAAATCCTTCATATGAAAAGATTCCTTAAGTCGTTCTTGAAGATGAGATATCAATCCAGAGTCAGTTTCCGTAATAACGATATCATCTATATAGACAAGAAGAAGCACCATACCCACCTTGGTACTAGAAATAAAGAGAGATGAACCATATTGACTTTGAGTAAATGAGAAATCAAGAAGAGCGGAACAAAACTTGTCAAACCAAGCTCGAGGAGCTTGTTTTAATCTATAAAGTGAGCGTTTTAGCTGACAAACATCGGAACAGGGCAAAGAGAAGAGACCCGGAGGTGGTGTCATATAAATCTCCTCCTTAATGTCACCATGTAAGAAGGCATTCTTAACATCCATTTGCCGTAAAGACCATCCCTTGGAGGCAGCTATAGCAAGGACGATGTGAACTGCTGTCATTTTGGCCACAGGGGCAAAAGTCTCTTCATAATCAACTCCATATTTTTTACAATTACCAAGAGCCACCAGTCGAGCTTTATATCGATCTAGTGATCCATCATAGCGGAACTTAACAAAGTATACCCATTTACACCCAATAGGTTTGATGCCAGAAGGATAAGGGACAATATCCCATGTGTGATTCTCTTGAAGTGCTTGAAGTTCCTCTTGCATAGTTTTTTCCCAACATGGTTGAGTAACAGCTTGAGAATAAGAAGTAGGAACTGTGTAAGGAGATAAGATTGTAGATAAACCATACCGATCAAGGGGACGAATAACGCGAGTAGATCGCGAAAGAGTATTAGAGTCTAGAGTAGGATTGGGAACGGGAAGGGGCAGTGAAGTTGGGGCCGTTGTCACTTATATAACATACCTGGTTTGAAACGCTCGATAGGACAAGAGATATCATCAAAGCTAATGAGCCGAGCCAAATTAGAAGATGATAAATGTTGTGGAAAGTAATGCTGATTCTCAAAGAAAACCACAAGAGATACGGAATCGATTAACAACACCATCATAACAAAAAAAACCTTTGAGGAATACTATTACCCATGAAAGCATACCGTACAGATTGAGCAAAATGCTTATGACGTTCATGTGTAGGCAAATGAACGAAATAGACACAAACAAAATTATGCAACATCTCAAAGCTAGGATGTACGCCATACAGGCGAAAATAAGGTGAGTCAAAATTCAAATGCTGAGCAGAAAGTTGATTAATCAGATGTACAGTTGTGGAGAGAGCTTCAACCTAAAATTTAGGCGGAATCGAAGATTCCAAGAGCAAAACTCTGACAACATCCAACAAGTGACGGTTCTTTCTCTCGGCCACTTCGTTCTACTAAGGAGTAAATGGGCAAGAGCGTTGAGAAAGAATGTCCTTCTGTTGTAACAAGGTCTAGCACTGATGAGACACAAATTCGCCTCCATTATCGGACCTCAGAACTCGAATACTAGATGAAAACTGGGTCTCAATGTAAGCAATAAAAGTCCAAAGAGTGGTATCGAAATCACTTTTAGAACGGAGAAAATATATCCAAGCATAACGATTGAAATCATCAATAAACGTCGCAAAATACTTATAATGAGCATGTGAAGTGACGGGTGCCACGTCCCAAACATCACTATGAATAATTTCAAAGCATTTATTAGCATTGCTGCCATGAGTTGGAAATGGAAGAATTTTACTTTTCCCAAGTTTACAAGCATCGCAATCGAAAGATAAATTAGAAAATTGAGATTGATCTTTATTACCCAGAAAACCACACTTCAACAAATGAGACAAAATTAAAGTATTCAGATGTCCTAGTCTTTTATGCGAAAGTTCATGCTTAAGTCCGACATAAATACAAGCTAAAGATAAAGCAGTAGAAATATTAAATTGTAATGGAAACAATCTTCCGACTTTAGGCCCCTTCGCAATCACCTTTCCCGATACTTGATCCTGCACAAGACAACCAGCACGAGAGAAATGCACATCACAGTTATTATCAACTAATTGACCAACCGAAATCAAGTTAGTAGATAATCCTAGAGATACAAAACATTATCAAAGGAGGACCCAATACCACCAATAGCAGTAATTGGGAGGGTACTTCCATGAGCAATCTGAATGTGTCGTGTGCCAGTATAACGTCTGATATTATGCAATGAATTAGAACTACCTGTCATATGATTTGATGCCCCTGAATCAATAAACCAAGGAGAAGAGATAACTTGACCTTTACCTTGTAAGCCCAAGATAGAGAAGGCGGAAACAATCATCCGTTGAACCATTTCTGGGGTAAGAATTGGCTGACTCGTACTTGCTTGGGAGATCATGGGAGTAGGTCCATGAACATTAGCCTGAAATGCCTGAGCTTTTCGATTTGGAGGTCGTATGGTGCAATCCTTAATGAGATGCCCTGGTTGCTTACAATAATTGCAAACTTTTTGAGGACAATTGTGAGCAATATGACCATATTATTTGCAGTAGCACTGAAGTTTACCTTTTCCTCGTTCTTGTGCCGCATATGCAACATTCACCACATCAGAAGATATATTAGCTCCCGTGGCAGTTTGTGTAGCTAGTTGTTGCTCCTCATGTAGAAGTTCACCCATGCATACATCCAAAGAGGGAATCGGATCGCGATTCAATAAACTTGCCTAGCAACTTCAAATTCAAGTTATAATTTCATAAAAAACTGATCCCGCTTATTAACTTCTTGAACCTCTTGGAGAGTCGATAGCTGTAGGAACCTTAGCATGAATTATGTTGGAGTACTCACTCCACAAGCTCAGAAAACCAGAATAATATTGCTCAATGGTGAGATTGCCTCGAGTGTAGTTGGCAATATCTAACTCCATCTGAAATCGAAGTGCATTGTTGTCTTGATAATAGATTCGTTTTAAATATTCCCACATTTCCTTAGTAGTAGTAATAGATCGTAAATTATTCATCATGTGCGCCTCCATAGATCCCAAAATCCATGAAATAATTCGAGCATCTTTCGTTTTCCATGTGCTGAGATCTTTAGCATCCTCAGGCACTCTAGAGGACCCATCAATATGACCCCAAAGCTCCCTTCCTTTTAAAAACATCTTGAATTGGAATTCCCATATAGGGTAATTCTTTCCTGTAAATTTAACGCAAAAGGCTTCAACCGACATAACTCTTTATTGTTGAACAATCGTCCAATTAAAAAAAATTCTGATCACAAAGAACAGCCCACACACTAGAGTTAATGGCCCAAATAAATCACAATTGGGCCTCACGCATAAAACCCACTCCACCCAATCAACGAAGCAGTTCACACGCCACTGAGCCCAAGATGAAGACAGCCCAGAACTCCCAGAAAGCCAGAAATGCGTTGAAGAAACCACATAAATGCTTCGATTCACAGTCACCGACGATTCAACTCCGATTACTTGCCAAACGCAGCCAGGTAACTGACTCCCACAGGTGAAGATAAAGTCACAATCGCCTAATAGAACACCACCACCGCCACGTTGAAGATGACGGTCTGCACCAACAAAGACGTCGACCACCGATCAATCGACCAAGAAGATTCAACTCGAGAAACCACACCGAAGGTAGAAACTCAAAGATTCAGCAATCAATTTTATGGGTAAGCTTTGATACCATGTTAATATTTCTAAGGCTGAATGTCGTCTCCTTACGGGATTCTCTCATTATATAGAAATTGAAATTTGTACATCTATGGTAAGTAATTGACCTAATATGATAATATACAATTATGGTATTTATTCATTCTAAATTGGTAAATGCAATCACATAGTGTAATCTTTCCTTTAACACTCCTCCTGTCACTCTTTGTCATACTTCTCGTGTTTGTTGACTCAGATAGGTACGATTTCTCTTTCCATAGCTCTATGTCTGCTACCCTTACTGTGTTTCCAATCCCTGCTCCTATAGACAAGCTATGGAACAAGAGTGTTGGCAACAGGTGATAAAGGCAAAACTTGAGGCTCTTCGGGCAAATCAAACCTAGGATTAGGGATGTTAAATGGGTCGAGCGGCTCGTCGACTCGACTCGTTAAAGCTTGGCTTGTGGGCGGCTGATGAGCCTGAGCACGGGTTGGATCCAACGAGCCTCGCAAGGCACGCCCACGAGCCAAAAGTTCACGAGCCCACAAGCCTAGTTAAAATTGTGAAGAAAAAATTTGAAAATTTTTAAAAAAATGAGTCTCACGAGCTCGTGGGCCGAGCCAAGCTCACCCCTTAAGCTCGGCTCGTGACGAGCACAAGCAGAGCTTGTGTGTTTAAGCCGGTTTGGCCTATTGCCACCTCTACCTAGGATGTTGTGCCATGTCCACCAACTATGATGCCTATTGGGAGTAAATAAGTATATTCGGTAAAACTTCATTCTGATGGTTTTGTTGAGCGCTATAAGGCACAATTGGTTGCCTTTGGTAAGAGTCAAGAGTATGGAATTGACTACGATGAGGCATTTGCTCCCATAGTAAAGATAATCACAATTCGTCTCTTGTTGTCACTTGCCACTTCCAGGTCTTGGTCTCTACATTAAATGGATGTAAAGAACGTGTTCTTACATGGGACCTCAAGGAAGACGTTTATATGAAGCTTCCATCTGGTATGCCTTTTCCCTCCGCTAACTCTGTCTGTAAGCTAAAGCTCTTTGTGTGGTCTTAAGTAGGCTCCACGAGCATGGTTTGATAAGTTCCGTCGCACTCTCTTGGATGTCTCCTTTACTCAGAGTTGATTTGATGCATCTTTGTTTATCCACAAAAGTACTATTGGCATAGTTTTTTTGTTGGTATATGTAGACGATATTATTTTCTCTGGATTTGATCACACTGTAATTCAAAAGTTTTAGCAGCATCTTCACTCGGTTTTTCATATGAAAGACCTTGTTCATCTCACTTGCTTCTTGGGCTTAGAAGTTCATATTGCTTCGCATGGTATCTTCTTGAATCAATATAAGTATATTCAAAACTTGATTATATTGGCTGGGTTATCTGACTCCTCCGTTGATATTTTGTTGGAGCTTAATGTTAAATATCGTAAAGACGAGAGTGATATTCTTCCAGATCCTACTTTATATCGAAAGTTAGTAGGTAGTCTCATCTATCTTACTATCATACATCCGAATATTTCCTTTGCAGTACATACTGTCAGCAAATTAATGGATGCTCATCGTCATCCTTATTTGGTAGCTATTCGCTGCATTATTCGTTATCTTATCGAGACTTCTCATCATGGTCTATTCTACCCTCGAGGGACGTCACTTGAGCTCAAAGCTTATAGTGATGTTGACTGGGCTGTTTGTTTTGACTTCGTTGATTTACTATTGTGTGGTCTATCTTCCTGGGTGATGCTCTCATTTCTTGGAAATGTAAGAAGCAGAACAATGTTTCTAAGTCTTCCATTGAAGCTGAATACCGCGTTGTCCGCTACTTGTTCTAAGGTTGTGTGGCTACATGGTCTTCTTGCAGAACTTGGTATCTCCCAATCACAACCTACTCCTCTTCATGGTGACAACACTAGTGCTATTCAAATTGCGGCTAATCCGATATACTATGAACGCACCAAACATGTTGAAGTAGATTGTCATTACATCTGAGATTCCTATGATTCCAAAGTCATTGATCTACCACATTTTTTCACTTGTCAATAGATCGTGGATATCTTTACAAAATCTCTGACTTAACTTCGTCATAATTTTCTTGTAAGCAAATTGATACTTGTGGACTTGCCATCATCAATTTGAGGGGGTATTAAATGCATGTGAGTTTCCTTGTTTAAATTTTCCTTTTGTACAGTTAAGGTTTCCTTGTATATAATGGTAGATCTATATATATTTGAAAGGAGGACAAGAGGAAGGATTATCGAGCTAAATTGATATAGCTTACTTCAAAGAAGAGTAAAAGCTGAAAAAATGGAAGTGCTCATTAGTTTAGAAACAGGATTCTTTGTGCCATCGAAGGCTCTGCTGTTGGACTTCCGTAAAAGGACCCGCACCAAGCAATATGGTGCAAGTTTCTTGACCTTGCTGTCACCTGAACAGCAGCTACAGTGAGAATGGCTTTTGAGTTGCAGTTTGCACAAATATTGCTAGTCTTGGTAGTCTTATTCCTGAAACCGCTTTCCAGTGGTGTTCAATGACTTCACTATTATGCAATAAGAAATAGAGTGGTTTAATGTAATATGCCATTGGAAAATTTTATGAATGGTAAACGTGCTAACTGATATTAATCATGATGGTCTACAATTATCTACTTATAGTTTATCGTATTTATGTCCACAGGTGGAAGAGAACAATCGATTGAAATCTGAACTTCAGAAAAAGATTGAGGAACTTGAGAACTATGTGAGAGCTCTTGCGTTCTAACAATTTCAGTCATATTGCATTTTTATTTTCTATTTCACAAAAGAGAAAAAATCTGTTAATATTTTGATTTTTTTATCACATGTTTGCCACATATTTTACTACATATTCATTTTTGTCATGTTGAATTCATGGACAAGCTCAAGCTCCTATGTGCTTTCTTGAAGTATATCTGGGTTGTTTGTTCCTATAATTCTGCATGCCTGTATACATCTTTATCAGCCCTGTCCCATTAATAACTAAATGTAATGTGCACATGACATATTTTGGTTGTGGTAGATTCAACATTTTATTCACGAAATATTGTGATGCCATGATACTAAAGATAATTGCATTTACTATTTTTACGTATGTATTGTAGCAGAATATGAGAATTCATTCGAAGTGCCTTGTAGCTAAAGAGTTTAAGGGCATTCCTCTTCCTTTAATTTTTATTAATTGCAAGAAGTGCTTTCTTTTTTATTTTCTAGTTTCTTGGATAGAGGATATCATTTTCTCCAGGCATTGTAATTTATTCTTTTGATTAAAAAATTTACGTCCTTAAATGAAAAAAAGTTTTAATGGATTTATGAAGGAAACATGAGGATGTATAAAACTCAATTTCAGAGAGAGAGAGAGAGAGAGAGAGGCATTTATTAAGGTTCAAAAGTTTACATGGGACCTGTGTTGCATTTTTTCCCATGTTTAATGCAGTCATCAAGCGTTTACGTTCCCTATTACCTTCACTTTGACCCTATTCTACTTCAATGATGTTAATTTGTTCCAATTTGAGTGAACACAATGATTAGTTTGGCTATGTAACACTCAAAAAAATGCAAGATATGCAGCAGAGATAGTTGCGGACCGTTAAATATCTGGTTGGGAGGTCTTTTTGTAACGACCCAACCTCTATACTCAAGCCCTTAACTTACTTACTGGAAGTGGATCTACCCTCTTACCTCTCACGAATTTTGATCGCGTCTCCAGGATTCGAACACATATCTAAAGAGGTTGGGTCGTTACAAAAAATGCGCCTGCATAATTTCCTAAAGCATTTTCCCCATACACTCAGTTCTTTTTCTCGAATTTTGCTCTAAGCAACTCCTATGTTCAAAGCAAGATGTCTAATTAGATCACAAATTACAAATGTCTTGAAACGTTCTATTGCTATTTCATGCGGCAATCCACATTAATGTAATGAAAGTAAATTGTCCATGATAATGATGGAAGGGTAGAATAATTGATCCCTTTTGTCAAGTAGAGTCATGAAATCTTCCCTCTTTTGCCTTCAGTTTCAACTAAAAATGACTTGTAAACTTTATTATGATCGTCCCCTCATTTGTAGTCCGTAGATTCCATTATCAAGAAGTGTATCCATGGCTTCTTGTACTAATTTCTCTCGACACATTATTGAATCTCTTGGCATAGATCTACTTGTTAATAGATAATTAGGAGTATCATTTCGATAGATAACTCTTCTATGTAACAATTGAGCCTCAATGTTCAAGTCGTTAATTTACATATTGTCTGCTCTGGGAAGACATATGCACTCTTACCCCCACGGATTTTTATCGTGTCTTCAAGATTCAAACACATGATTTTTCCCTTAAGAGAGACTTAAGTTGAAAATTGATACCAATTGTAACGATCCGACCTCTGTGTCCAAGTTATTAACTTACGTACTGTCCGCTGTGAGAGAACCCAAGCCCATCTTACCCTTTACAATTTTCTATCGCGTCCCTAAGATTTGAACCCAAAACCTCAATTGGTATCAAAATTCAACTTAAGTTTATCTCAAAGGAAATGTCATTTATTCAAGTCTTGGGGACACAATAGAAATTCATGAGGAGAGAGGGGGGGGGTTAAGAGGGCAGATACCCTCCCAGAGTGGATAGTCGTAAATTAATGGTTTGGGCATAAAGGCTAGATTGATACACTTTGAATTATGAAACCCTATTGGGACAGGAGTATAATGAGTTTGTAAAGGCTTAGTGGCAATTTTGAGAAACTGTGATGATTTGACAGTGATATGAGCCAATGTATAGAAGTCGTGGCGGGGGCTGAGAGAGGATCCATAATTGCTGTCCTTGAAATTGGATTCTTATCTGTAGTGGTACCAAAACTTAAATAATACAAAGAGGAGTGAAGATTCCAAAGTTGGAATTCCATTGTTCAACATAAATAACACCAAATCTAGGATTTAAAAAATGTGTGTGAATTTCCAGTTTCGTTCCATATGGTTCATTGTCAATCCCTGGTCATTTATATGGAATTTAATTACTTTAGCCATCTTAAAATGGTTTTTTTCCTGAAAAAGTAATGATGCTTGAAATGAATATTAGAATAATATTGAAGAAGATAGTCACATCTTTCACTGGGACACTAGTTGCAGTATATGTCCTCAAAGAAAATAACAAAGTAAGGGCTTGATGATGAGGAGGATGACCTTACATCTGCTATTGGTTTTTCGGAGATATGTTATCTTTTGTCTATGACAAGGACACTGTAAACCATTAGTGTTGTCAGATCTCATGTGGTCTTCACGAATTCCTAAAAAGAAAGATTAAACAGAACAAAACAAACCTGCTGTCCCCTTGGTATAGCCCCTGAAAGTGAGATGGAAAAAAAATAATAATAATGGGATTGTGCACACTATGAGGGACGTGGAGTGTTGCGACTGTGGTGTGGTAGAACTTACGGTTCTTTAATAACTTGCAGCTATATCCGTATGTTATGGACTGAAACATTACTTGGAATTGAAATTCATTCTTTTGGTTGAAATTTGTTTCCATTATTCACATTTCATTGCGCCTCAAATTTGATGGATATTGCATGTATTGAAGTTCATGTCTTATCTCCATGTTCTTACAATCCTCAACATCTTTTATGCATATTTGCTTCCTTGCTTGCAAGAATTCATTTTGTAACCCAAAATATAGTATCTAATTCCTTATTCTTGGCAGAAATCAGGTGATTTAGAATCTCAAATTCCTCATTCTGATGATCGTAGAGTTGATCATTTAGTTTTGGGTTTGGAAAGTCAGATAGGTGGGAGTGGAAAGATGCACATCAATTCTGGACAAGATTTATCAAGTACAGTTGTTTCTCGGCAAGACTTGATGCAAAGTGAAATGGCTCGTGGGATGCACACTTATATTGAAAACCACTTTGATAATAGCGCAGTCAATGGGTCACTGAAAGTGATTCCTGGTGTTCAAGCGACATCTGATAATTCTGGCGTTTCCCAGTTTGTCTCACCATCTACGCAATCAGTTGCTCCTAGCAGGTACAACATATGGAAATATGTGAAGAAAATAACATGGTCTGCAAGTTATATCCATTTTTGCTATCTTGTTTGTTAATTCACATGGGATATTTGTTGCTTTTATAGATACCAACTAGAAAGGGATTTTGATTCACAGCTCAATGTATCTGGAAGGGGTTTGATTTCAATGGCAGATGTTAATAATTCTAATAGCCCAAAGCAGGTATTATCTCATGAACAAAAGAATTATCATTCTCAAACATTTGACATTAAGAGCCAAAGCTATTATGTTTCTTCCTGTTATTATAATTCTTATTCTATTAAAATAAGAAAGATAGAATCTTTCTGTTGCATGTAATTCTTTTATTTCTAGCATCACTTTTGTGAATGTAACTTTGTAGGATCTTGTTGTAAAGATCCGGGAACATGCAGATGAGATTATGCAGTTGAAAAAATATCTTGCAGAATATTCAGTCAAGGTATTGAGCGGAGCATTTTCATACTATTCCATGCTTCTACTTTTATGTTCTTGTTGTGGTGATTATTATATTCTTTGGCTAGGAATCGCAAATTCGCAATGAGAAATATATGCTGGAGAAGCGCATTGCATATATGCGTACGGTAGGCAGGAGGATTTATGTTTTATAACTTCTTCAAGAAATCCTTTCTCCTTGTTTCTGGAAACTGACAGAAATAGTGTGCATTTAATTCTTTCCTAAGGCCTTTGATCAGCAACAACAGGATCTGGTTGATGCTGCATCTAAAGCAATTGCCTACAGACAAGATATAATGGAGGAGAATGTACGCCTTACGTATGCATTGCAGGTATAATCTTCTTTTTCTGTTAAATTTTTTTTTTTTTCATCCAATATTTTGTGTTATCTTAGCTATGTTTTGTCCTTTTGAAGTGGTCGGTGCTGTTGTTTCCTGAAAAGATGCTTCCTCTGGCTGACACTTTCTGGGATATATAGTGCTTGTTTCATCATGCTCTTAATCGTATGAAATGTGGGTATAATTAGTGAGTAGTAGTTGTAGGTCTTACGAAATATAAGGATAAAAGGAATATGGATATAAATAGTGGGTTGTAGTTGTAGGTCTTACGAAATGTAAGAATAAAACTATGTTTGATCCTCTTAAAAAATAGAATTAGCTTCGACAAACATGCAAATAGGAATGACACTGAGTCCAAACTCTTATGGAAGTCAATTTTCATCTATCCGATGATATTCATGAATGTTGACAATTAAATTTGACTATCAATAAAAGCAGCTGACTTATTTCAGTTGTATGTAGATGCAGTATTGCAATTTTCATCACAAAGAATAGTTGAATGAGGTGGTTCTTTACCTCCTTTCAACCTCGTTACTTCAGCATTTACTTACATCTTTCCATTCTTCTCTCACCTTCTCATCTCCCTGGCTATTATGTGCACATAGACCACAAGTTTGTTCTTGCAGTTTGTAAATCTAATAAATCAATGTGGGATTGCTAAATGTTAAAAATGTAATGATATATACTCTATGATACTGCTTAATAAAATGGACGACTGATAACGCAAGTTTCAGTTCACCAACACCAACCCTTGTCCTTTCTCTTCTGGACAAGTATGACCATATATTCTCAGGTTCATACCTTTTTTTTTTTGTTGCAGGCTGCACAACAAGACAGATCAATGTTTGTATCTTCTTTAATGCCTCTTCTTTCAGAGTATTCTCTTCAGCCACCTGTTGCTGATGCCCAATCTATTGTCAGTAATATCAAGGTTAATATAGTTAACCTTTTCATCTATTTCTTATACTTGACTTGTAATCTCTTGTTAATGAGAACTGTGACCTCAAACTACCCATTTACACTCAAGAGGCTTAACACTAGATGGACAAGAAACAATTTTCCAATTATGGTTCTGCTGCAAATCTTGCAACTTCATCTACAGCCTTTACCAAACAGACTTGTGTGGCTGCCTGAGAGTAAGAAGTAGGCACACTGATCTGAGCTAAAGTTGCATACTTGTGTTAAGTGATGTGTGGGAAAACCCATACCTTTCAAGTCGGATGAGAAGGTTGGGAGGATCGTCGAGGAGCAAAAGCTTCAAAAAAAGTATACCAGATCAAGGTTGGAAAGGGGTGGTGATAGAAGTGGAGGTTATCGTCTGTCATAATACTCTTGTTACACTTGATCTTTGATGTTAGTTTACTTCTTAAAAAGGATAACAACTATCACTTGAACATGAAGGAAAGGAGAGTTATGATAGTCAATAGCATAAATGATTTATAACCAGGTCTAGACATTGACCTGTTAAAGTTAAGGGTCAGGGGTGGTAAAATTTATTACTTAAATGTCATAAAACATATATAGATCGACAATCGCACCAATTAATGGACATACTAATTATTAATTGACTACTGATGATTAGGTTAATTAAAATATATTTTAATTTGTAATGAAATTTTAATAATTTAGTCAAGACATTATTAATTTAAACTTAGCCCCCATTAATTTCCATTCCATTACATTTCATTTTCTCTCTCCTATTTTCAACTACAAAATCTTTTATAAAATAATATTACACGTAAACTGAAAACTTTTCCTTCTTTTTCAATCACTCATTTTTCAAAAAAAAAAAAAACTCTATTCCGCTAATTTTCATTATCACATAATGGGGGGCAAACGGGGCTTAATTTTCTAAAAGTAAAATAGAATATCGTCAAAGATGGCTTATTTTCTCCACCACCGTTTTTAGAGTTTGAAAAATATCCACATCAAAAAAAAAAAAAAAAAAATTTTTTTTTTTTTTTTTTTTTTTTTTTTTTTTTTTTTTTTTTTTTTTTTTTTTTTTTTTTTTTTTTAAAAAAAAAAAAAAAAAAAAAAAAAAAACTATTTCACCCATTTTCATTTCTACAAAATGGGGGCCAAACGGGGGCTTAATAATTAAGTCAAGTCATTATTGTTTTACCTGTCAAATACCCAAATTAGTCCAAAAATCAAAAGATTATAAAAAGCAATAGCAAAACAAAAGAAAAGAATTTGAAAGGTCACCACCCTATACCTGTAAAATAAAAGGAGATTCTCAAGTTCCAAAATCAGGAAATATCATCTTCCAACAGTGAGTTGAGCGTTTCTCAACAGCTTGAGACTCAGCTTGGATTTCAGCTAAAAGCCTCACTTTTAACAAATAATGAAAAGCACATTCCAGCATGTTTATTCTTGTCAACAAGTGGTTGGGGAGGAGGGGTTATGGTGTTTGAATAGGTAGATATGCATCCTATAGAATTATGTACTAAATACAAATTTCTTATTTTTCATTCTGATAGGGATAAAAATTACAAACCAAATCCTGATATATTAAATATTCTGTTTTAGTGTAACCAAATTACCATGGATAATCTCCATAAGTGAAAGGATGAAGCCCCTGTTGGGGCTCCATTTTTTCAAAACTCATTTTTAACTATACGTTCTCCCATAAAAAATATTATACATAAACCCAAAACTTTTTCTTATTCTTTAACTATACATTCTTTAAAAAATCACTTTTCCAAAATACATTTTCACCCAAAATCTCATTAAAATGGAGAACAAGGAGGGGTGAAATCTTATTTTTATCTATATCAACATATAAACACAACTCAAATAAGACTCCACCCATCCATTTCAAACTGGAATCTATCAGTCTAGTTTGTCACAAGCGACATATCTCATAACTATAAATACAGTTTCCTGCCGACGTCAGGTACGTGAAATGACATGCAAAATACGACATTAAATTATCTCCATTTTAATTATATTTAGTATCCTATTGTCATAAACTGACTTAGGCATCTGAAGGTTACAAGGCAGTGCCTTATACCATCTATTGCAGTTATCTCTAGGGAAGAGAGGACTACCAAAGAACAAATTTCAATAGTCACATTTTGGAGCTTTTTGTGGGAACTCAATTGAATACCAACCTAATGTGTCTTTCAATGATTCCTAACAAGTATATTTTATTGATCTTCCTGCAAGTTAACCAAAAATAAATAAACAGGCTGAACCTTGTGTTCCTCTTAGGCACAAAAGTTTTCAAGAGAGTGACTTTGCGACCCCTTGGACGCCATCCCCGTAAATCTACCTAGTGACAGAGACTAGGCTTAGGAACTAAGGCATTCAATAACGCAGTGGATAAACTCCTTTATTAAGACCCTGTTTGGCCCCCATTATTTGAAATTTTAATTGTTGAAATAGTGTTTCATTTTGAAGAATGTATGATTAAAAAAGAAGAAAATGATTTGGGATTACATGTAATATTATTTTATTGAATAATGTGTGGTTAATAAGAAGAGAGAAAAATGTGTGGTTATCTATATACACGTACAATTCAAATCAGACTATAGTTCAAACAGGAATTTATTAGTCCAACTTAGTCTGGATAGGACGTTATCACATGAGACATCTTATAAAAATAAGTAGAACTTTTCTCTGGCATTTCTGGCGTGCTGCAATATAACATGCAAAATACAGTCCTAAATTTTCCCCAGCTTAATTATATTTATAATGCTATAGTAGCATACTGATTTGGGCATCACATGGGTACGAGAAGTACTCCGCTACTTAAATTGCAGGTATGGCTAGGGAGTAGAGGTGGTGAATCAAAGAAACAATTTTTGACACTAACACATTCAATGATTTATTTGTTCATAATCCACAGATACTGCTATTTAACAAATTTAATAACAAATGAATGCCTAGTACTAAAATGAATTCCAAAATTCATCCTTTCTCATTTTAGGCAAAGTAGAGCGACATGACAGATCGTAACTTTAAACTCAGATTTTAAAGATATAAGATGAACCTTGTACGATGTACAAGTGGTCTGTACATCATTACCTATTTAAAACAAGTGAGGCTAATGGCTTGATGAAACTTGACAAAGCCTTGTGTGTTTTTTATGAGCCAAGTATTTAAACAAGGAAAATTAGCTCTTCTCAAGACTGAGCTGGACTTGGCCTACTAAAAGATATATTGAACCAAGACTGAACAGTCAGTTCTCTAAAGCTCTTTTTCATCTCCAGATCTGGGCAAAATTGTGATAATCATGATGTGGTTGAGATTTGAGGTTGTCCCCTTCTGCAAAATTTTTCATGGAACTTCGTTTTTACAGGTTTTGTTTAGACATTTTCAGGAGCAGCTTCTTCTCACTGAGGTATGTCGAATGCGATATTCAAGTGGACTTGATTGATGATGAACATCTTATGTTTGCCAATATATTTTATCACCATGTTTTGTGTTGTTGTAGGGAAAGCTCAAGGAGTCTCAGTACCAGATAGCACCTTGGCGATCTGATGTGAATACCTCTAATTTTTCTCAATCACCATCACATGCTGTTGGGGTAGGGCTAGCATTTCAGCGTACTCATGTATTATATATCCTTTGCATGAGATGTGATAATGGATTTCTCAAACATTTGCGTTCCCTGCCAGATCAAAAATGGGATGGAACTAGTGCCACAACCAGCATATGCTAATGGAATGATATCATCTTCAGGTCCTCACACAACAACTGATGGAGATCTATTGGGGCGTCAGAGTGATCTAGGTGATGCTGTTGCGAAAACTTTGGAGCCCAATAACTTTGGGAGATATTCCCCTCTTGGAAGCAGGTGAGCCTGGTCGAATGGGACTGCTACTGTAACTGAATGTTCAGTTTCAACAGTCAGCTTTTGGTGGTGGTTTCTGAATTTATATAAGTTTTCTATTATTGCAACATTTGAAGTGATGACCTTTGTAATTATTTTCTTGTCTAATTTTAAGCTCTATAACAGTACGAATAGCTGTATGATATTGTTCCCTTTTCCTGCAAATGGTAGAATAGGCTGTAAGGTTGTAACATTTCCTCATATCAGACTACAATTTTTACCTCAATTTTGCATCATTATCTCAGTATATTGTATTCTATTAGTTTCTTATCTTTTTATTTTCCCGTTCATCCTAATCATGTTCACCCTACTATCTAGGAACGCCGATTCCAAAGAAGTACATGGACGGCTTGCGGTCAACCAGAATGATTCAAGTCCTGTACGTAATAATGAAGGAACCACGAGTAAAAAAGTTACATTTGGTGACCTTGTTAGGAACAATGCGGTTGATGATCCTGTCATCAAAGGATATGAGAATGATAGAGAGGCTTCAGCTAATTGGACTCCTAAAATGTCAGCATATACTACAAATGCTGATGATCTCAACTCATATTCTCATTTACCTCCAGTTCTTGAGGAACCTACATCCTCTTTCTCAGAGGGTCAGAATTCTCACACTTAAGTTTTTTTAGCTCTTCAGCATGCTGTTGGTGTCACAAATTCTAAATCTATTGCAATGATCAGCTGCAGATGATGATCCACTACCTGCAATACAAGGCCTCCAAATTTCAGGTGAAGCCTTTCCAGGACAAGTGCTGCAGGCATCTGGATTGTCCATATATGGAACGACCAGTTGTAATTTTGAGGTGCTTCTTGTATTTAGGCTACAGTTTCTTTTACTCGTGCTCTACATGCCTGTGATTTTTTGTTGTTGCTTTTGCTTGTCTTCTGACATGGTTACACTGGATTTGTGTTTGATCTACAATCATATATTTTACATAGGACTGTTTATTTTTATTTTGCCTTATTCCTGAATTTGCAGTGGGTGCGTCATTTGGAAGATGGATCTTTCAATCATATAGATGGTATCTTCTGTACCACAAACTCAGTTTCAATTTTCAGTTGTTGTCTTTCTTTCCGATCAATATTCAGTTTTTAGCTTTACATATTATTGATGCCAGGTGCAAGGCAGCCAGAGTATCGCGTGACTGCGGATGACGTTAATGCATATCTTGCCATTGAAGTACAGCCTCTGGATGACAGAAAGCGGAAGGTTCTATTTTGGTTTTTGTTTTTTTCTGTGTGCACGCATGTCTGCATTGGTCATCTATGTTTCAATGTACCAGTTTCAAGACTTGGTCTGTGACTTATCTCTTGGCAGCTCAATTAGGTTATCCATGATGTTATACAGGCTGAAATTTTGAAAATTGTGTTTCCATTTTCTGTTTGATCAAACACAATGCCCAATCTTTGGGTCCGTGCCTTCTGTTGGTAGCTCAATTAGGTTATCTGTGAGCACGAATAGGCTGAATTCTATGACATTCCATTTTTTAATCTTTGAAATTATTTTGTTCTTATAATATAAGAATCATTATACGGAGGGCACGACTCTTAAATGTTGGGCTATTTCCCTTGCATTGTGCAATAGAATTTGTTGCTTTCACCTTTTTTCTTCTGGAGACCTGGTGTTCAGACCATGACAGTTAATGTTTGAACTATAATTGAAAGTAAACCTCAACATACAAATTCTGTGAGCAGTTGAATGGAAACCTGTGTAGTTCAGTATGTATCTTTATGACTGATGAGTTGCATAAATGAGATATTCAGTTCTAAGTTCAGACAACCTTGCATGTCAATATGCAACCTCAAGATTATGGATCTTCACGATTACAAGCAATTTATTAGACAATTTTCTACAATATTACAATATTTTTAAGGTGCCTTTATTTCAAAATTGGACTGAAGTTGGAATCAAAGTGGAATTACTTTGTAACCAAATGAGAATGAAAAGCACCCTATCATGTTTGGTTCTATTTACACACACTCGATTTGAGGTATAAAATTACATTTTTCTTCTTTCAACAATGTATATTGAGACCCTACATATATATACTAGTGTAGTAATCTTACTAGGAAATAAAATCTATTTGCTAAAATTGTTATTAAACAAAATCTCCAAAAATTGAATTGAATCTTTCCTTCGACTAAAAGATTTTCCATATTCCCCCACAGAATGGATCAAATATATAAAGCATTCAAGGTTGTCTATTGTCCTAGGGGCATTCTGTAAGAATGTTGGTAAGGTCTGCTAACTACTTCTCAGTTGGTACATAGGCCATAAGAATGGCACCTAACGTCAATTCCTCTTAAGTGCTGGCAATCTAATTGTGATTTGTCTTGTCGTGCTGAATGAGACAATGAACAATGTTGATCACTTCTTTGTTATCACAACACAGTTTGCCAGGGCTTTTGAAATCCACTATTAACTCTATGGGAGAAGTTCATAAATCCTTGAGCAGTGGATCTAAACTCTGCTTCGGCAGTGTTATGATACCACATATCAATGTTGTTACGTCGTTCTAGAAAATATCTCGGTTGGCATATATCATCGATCTCAAATTTTCTAGTTAAAATATATTTTTATTTTTATTGCACGAGAAATTATTGCCAATCACTGTAATATGATCTGCATATACAATAAGAATTGTACTAGAATGAGGAAGGATGGTTGGATCAATCAGTCCTAACATATTGGGAAACATCACTTCCGTATTTAAACATTTTTTGTTTACAAATCTAAAATTCCAATATATGGTTCAAGTTTGAAATTAAGCTAGTGTCTCGAGTTTGATGTGTTTCTATTTGTATGTTCGGCTACACTGGTGGGTCCCCTTTGTCTTGGCTCAGGCGACAGTGGAGGTCACCACAGTGTTGTGAATGTTGAGGTCATTTTATACTAATAAAATTGGGGGTGTCCACAATGGCCAATTCTGGGTTGTATCCGGTTAACATTCCAAAAGAAATGCCAACAAAGATAATGAAAGTAACACTTATAACGGAAATCTCATCAATTTCATTCCATTTCATATTTCTATTCCCCCTAACCAAACATTCCCTTATATCACTTCAAGTAAAAAGTTTCAGTAGCCCATGTTTACTTTTCGAATCAGATGTTGGTATCAATGTGCTTTGAATTTAGTATGAGGTATCAAATATTGTGTTATTAGGGTGTATTTACTGCTCGAATCCATGCAAAAGCTGGAAAATATTGGTCTCCGGTTTCACTTAATAATTGACAAAAGTTGATTGTCATAAATACTGTCACCATGCATGCTGTCCTCTATATATCCTTGATAGCATTTCACTTTGTTAGATGAGTTTTTTCATTGAGACTATAATATTAAATATCCAAATCTCTATATTACATGAATAAGATAAAAAATTATCTAAGCTACCTGTCAAACAAAGTAAAGGGTTATAGTTCTTTTTGGTTCAAAAAGGTTGAAACTAGTTGAGCTGCTGCTGCTTCTTTTTTATTCTTGATTATTTATTTATTCACATTCCTTCATTTTTTATAGGCATGCGCTTTAATCTTAATGCTTCAAAGTAGATCTCTTAGTCCTCCTTTTATTAATAGGTGATATCTGAGGTGGGAACTGACTCCTGCATTATTTTGGTGGCATTGGGCATGAATTAGATTTCTATTATCTGTACTCGGATTCTATAAGGAATCTGATTTAGGCTACAGAATTGCTTGAAATTGTCGGACCTGATATTTTTCTTTCAAGACAAATTTTACCCCTTTTTTTCATGCATATATATGCTCCTCGTCTTTCAGTGTTTTATCAATCATGAATTTTGGGTGAGGAATGAAATGTTACATTTTGATGAGTTTCCTTAATTGAATTGGTTCCCTTTTTTTTTTTTTTCAGGGTGAGATTGTCACGGTCTTTGCCAATGAGCGTAGAAAAATCAGTTGTGGTAATTGATACTTCTGCAAATTGGTTGAACATAATAATTAAGAGGCATCATTCGGTTCTTAGAACTCTTTTTCTTTTTCTGCAAACCCAACCCCCCCCCCCACCCGGCACACAAAAAAAATCTTTCCTTCTGGTTGTTTATATGATACATGTGTCAGGTGGATCTGATGTATATAGCTGAATTTCCTTGCTTGAATATAATCCTGTTGTCTGCATATTATTCAACTCCAGTTAGGATCAAAATCTCATTGAAAAGTTCAAAAGCTTTATCTTTTACTCCTTTAATTGTTAATTTTCTGCTTAGTTTATGTACATCTGTGATTGTGGTACTTTCAATATACCTGTTTCCTTGTCCTCCAGATTCTGAAATGCAGAACGCCATACAGAAGGCTTTTTCGAATGGTCGTATTACATACAATTTATCCTTCTTGGTACAATTGCTACTGATTTTTATTTTTATTTATTTATTTATTTTTTTGACCTCCCACATATTTTCAAATTGCAGAATGTTTCTTTACTGAACTCCTTTCCATAAGAAGCTTTTAATTAATTTCAATTGTTTCTTCTACCAATTCTCTTTGGTCATGAAGACTGGGGATCCTGATACATGGGAGCCGGCTACGTTGTTCGTCAAAAGGGATGGTTACAGCATAAAGTGTAGTGGGCCTAGTGGTGTTGTAGTCACTCAGAAATTTTCATCGTCCACAATTGTATGTTCTCTATCTGTATTGCATTCTCATGCTAATCTTTGATCTGCCCCTCCCATCCCCACGATGCGTCTGTCTTCTTAAAAGGACGTAAAGAGAGAATGTGTAGAAAGAAAGCGCATATCTTCAGTAGTCTGTTTCAATTGCAGAAACTCCATGTTCCAGTCCTAGTGGATTGACTAGATTGCACTTATCAAGAATCAAGAAGCGTAATTATATTTTTAGATGCTGAAAAAGATTGAGGTTAGCTACAAATGATCAGAACATCTTTATCCTGAAAGATAGCCATCAGACATATGGAAGCTTACAAGTTTGATTAGTGGAATTGATGCGAAGGAGAAAATATGAATAATTGTAAGATGGAGAGGCAAGCATTGGCAGTTGTGAGATTTAATAGCTTTAAGTAATGCATTTTCACTTTCTTCGTTGTGGTTGAGAGCTTGAGAAGTAGAAGTGGGCATTTCAAGTTTATTTTTGCAATTAGCATAAGTCATTGCTTTATTTGCGCTATATTAATATAGAGATATAAAAAATATATGCTGAAAATATACATCTGTATAAGTTTTTAAATCTTTCTTTCAAAGAGCAGTTACTTTTTGTTCTTTAGTTAACATATCATGCTGAAGGTCAGAGGTTGTTTGGAAGGATATTCAAGTTATCGTATGTCGGTGAAATTTTATTGACAATAACTCTGGAACTTTCACTGCTGACCCCAAAAAAAAAAAAAAAAAACCAACTGTAACAGGGAGATTGGTTTGGGGGCAGTCGTTTGCTTGAAATGGATACTTGAGATCTTTGGAACTATTCCTTTTCAAACAGTTATTCCAATGATTTTATAAACCATATACTAATCCAATTGGCAACTCGTCTTTCTGCTACATCTATTCTTAAATGCATTAGAAAACAGAAAAGTAACTTGTGTAGCACTGGCCTATAAATATCACATACTTTCAACTCTTACCTTAAAACTGTGATGGGTGATACGAAGATAATAATGGAACTGCGGGAGCGCCATTCCTTGTGAGGCATCCATCATCAAAGTATATAAAGTTGTAGATAAAGCTGTCCACATCTAATATAATCAGAAGATAATGAGTGAGCATGCATCAAATCCCTTCTGTTCATGGATGTTTTCTCTATATTATTATTGCTAGAGCAGGAGAGGGGCAAATAAAAAAAATGCATATATCTACTAATTTATTGCGGTACCGCCGCCAGGAATTACCACGACTACTAAATACATTGATAGTGGTTGTGCTTTCAATTTGTAGTTGATCCTACCTGGTTTGCAAATTATAATATATATATTTTTAAGTTTTCAGGCGGTATAATCCTTCAATAACCAACCAGTCAAAGCTACCAATCTTGAATCTCTAAACAAGATTTGTACCATAATATAGTCCCTTCTAGAAGAACATATCTGTCTTCATTACTGGGTATATACTTTTAAGTCAGCAGCTTTAATTACTATTTTTCCTTTCTATTTCTATATAAGACTATATTAATTGCTTCACAACATATTTATTTCTGGACTCTTGAGTAATCAGTATATATTCTTATGTGTCCTCCTCTTTTGATTGTTCATTTGTTTTCATTTTTGAACTCTTCTAGGTCTCTATCCCATATGGATGTGAAAAAGAATTCTCCATAATTGATTCACAGGGGACTGATCGTCTTCTAAGGGTGGATAGTCCAATGTATGTAAGCTCGTAAGTCGTGATAGTTTCTTTTGGTGTGTGTATTCTACAATTGTAATTCTTATTGTATGTGAGATAATCCACTTTTTAACATATGCAATATAGAAGATTTAATATTTCTGTTAAGGAAGCTTGGATGCTACCTTTATAATGCTGGACTAGATAGGTTACAGATATGAAGATTTCTGTTAAATAAATCTGAAACTAAATACCTTAGGACTTGTGAGTACAATGCCTTTTAACGTTCTTGATGAGACGACGTTTCTTACGAAGAGAAACTGCTATGTGGCTTGAGAGAGGAGGAAGGGGGGGGGGGGGGC